TTTGATTGGACAAGGTGGAGATTATGATGTCATATCCCACCTCTCCACCCTGCTGATTTACTAAAACTGGAGAGTGCAAAATCTGGAGCAGCTCTTCAAAAAAAACAACAAGTTTTTTTGTCAAAGCTTAATTGAACAAGCTGAAGGTAGAAGCTGATTGGCTACCATGCACAGCAGCACCAGATTTTGCACTCTCCAGCTTTAGTAAATCAACCCCAATGTGTTCCCAGAATGACACCCATGCCAAGCGAGAAAACTCCTGTGTACACAATGCAACAGGGCAGTCAATTGGTACAGGACTTGGAATTTATCAAAGATCACCTACTACAGTGATTTACAGCTGCCACAGGGATCCCACAGATATGGCACATACCTACTTACATTAGTCCAAGCTGCATCAATGTAACTATGAAAATTGCCATATCTAACCTTCAGATTTAAACTTGGATGCACTGACAAAGCATCTGACCAAAAATGTCAGATTTTCCTGTTGCCAACTCAGTACCTGTTTAAAGCGGTATTAAATCTAAAACCAAAATGTAATATATTGCAGTTTACCAATCCTTAGATGTGGTGGCTGCATTAGTTTCTTTTGGGCTTTTTCCCCTCAGTTTTTTCATGGTGATGTGGCCAGTAACGCACCACTCTTGATGAGTACATGGAAAATATTGCATTCATTTGTGATGCAGAAAAAAAAACACACTGGACTGCACCTGGTATGAACCAACCCTAAAAAAAATTAAAAACAAATGCAGCCACCACATCTAAGAATTGGTAAGCTGCAATATAATAAATGTTTGCTTTTGGCTTTAACAGCTTCTTGACCACCCTATAGCAGAAATACTGCTACAGGGCGGCACGGGTGTGCAAAATCATGTGTATATATATGTAGGGGGCTTGCTTCCTACCCGCGCCGCCATTTGCGGCCATGGCTGTCGATCACCGGGTCCTGGATGGTGATTACTTGCCGGTGCCCAGTGATTTCCAAGGATCTCCGATGGGGAGGTGAACTGTTTTGTTTACTAACAGTTCTTCTCCCTGTCAGCTCAGGCACACTGCTTTGGACAGCCATCCAAAGCAGTGTGATTACAGTGAAGCACACTGACACCGCCCCCTAGTAAATCACTCCCAGCACACAGTTAACCCTTTGATCGCCCCTTCCTGCCCAGTGCCATTAGTAGAGTCTCAATGCTTTTGATCACTGTATTGGTGTCACTGGGGATCAGTGACACCAAATCAGTTCCCTCCAGTGTCAGAATGTCCCCCGAAGTCCCACTATAAGTCGCTGATTGCCACCATAACTAGTAAAAATGTAAAAAAAAAAAAATCCCAGTATATATACCGCCATTTGTAAACACTATAACTTTCACGTAAATCAATTAATTTACATGTATTGGGATTTTTTTTAAGCAAAGACATGTAGCAGAATAAATTTTGGTGTAAATTTATGACGAAATTTGATTTTTTTAAAAACTTTTTTACTGGGCATGTTTAATAGCAAGAAGTCAAAAATATTGTTTTTGTTTTTTCGATCATATACCACCAAAAGAAAGCTCTATTCGTGGGAAAAAAAGGACGTACATTTAATCTGTGTGCAGCATTGCATGACCGTGCAATTGTTAGTTAAAGTAACGCAGCGCCGTAACACAAAAAATGGCCTGATCAGTAAAGGGGGTAAATCCTCAGGAGGGCAAGTGGTTAATACTGCTTTAAGTTTTATATATCTGCTTTTTTTGGTTGCCTCTGTTTGACTTGTTTGTCTTGACCTTCTTCTTGCTCTGTGAATATGTTTGTCCGCTACCCGGCTGAATCTCCAGCCACTCCTGACCTCATCTATACAGTACCTTCCTGAAAGGGTTGCACTCTAGTGCTGTCTTCAGTGCAAGATCAGTGGCTTTAAAGGAGACCAGACATTAATAGAGTCGGCTTCTTCAAAAGAGCTTTCTGCCACCTGCTGGAAATACAGAGGATCCACTGCAGTCCATGACAGTATTCAATAATTATTCTGCTTTAATACTTTCTAAGGAGGTGTTTACTTCAACACATTGTAAATTCTAATTATAAGTGGTAAAATAAAAACTTCGTAAACATAGTGACATTGGACTTTTTTTAATATTATATTAAATCTGCCAAAGGCCAATTAATAGTTCATTTGTTTGTTATGTAACATACTTTAATATCCATACTAAAAAAAACACTGATTCTCCTTTCAAGTGAGCCTTCATATAAATATGTAGCCTTCATTTATATCTTTTACATTTGTATTGCATATTTCAAACCTGCCATACTTAAGTCATTTTGATGTTCTTCTTACAAAGGAGTCATTTTCATCATATCACTTTTCTCAAATACTACCTTATTGGAGAAATATACAGCTACCAACCCAAAGGCTGCTGCTGAGGCAACATAAGCTGTGACTGTTTGTGTCTTCTGTACAATAAAACCCATGAGGAGCGAAGGGACCACCTGTGATAGCAGACAGGCGCTATCAAGGATGGCAATGTCCAGGCAGATCCCGTGGTTTGGTGCAGTTGATTCTCCAACCGTAAAAGATCCATCACAGGAAGGACCAAGACACAAGGATGGAGAATTTGATGAGAAAAGTGGATCGCCATTACTGTCAGTTGCCTCTTTGATGAATGCAGACTTTCTTTCTTTCTCTACTGTCTCGTCCTCTACCACATCCTTATATTTGGGGAGAAACACCTGTTGAAAAGAACAAGGCATTTTTTTTTCATTTGCATTTTAGAAACCGCAGCTTGGCATTGCATGCCATTATTAAGCTTGTGATCTACCAGAACCCCCAGATCCTTTTCCAACATTCATTCCCCCAGTTGTACCCCCCCCCCAGTATGTATGATGCATGTATATTCTTAGCCCCCAAGTGCATCACCTTACATTTATCAACATTAAACCTCATTTGCCACATAGTTGCCCAATTAAACAGTGCATTGAGGTCGGCTTGTAAATTGAAGACATCCTGTAAGGACGTTATTCTACTATACAGCTTGGTGTCATCTGCAAAGACTGAAATGGTATTTTTAATCCCAGACCCTATATAGTTTATAAAAAATATAAAAATACAATATGTGTTTTTGCTAATTACCAAAAACCCTATTTTCGTTTCTAAATTTCTTTATAAATGCTAACACAAAGCACATGCAGTTCAGTACCTGAGACAATTACAGAACAGAAGAAACATTCTGCACTCCAGCATTAAAGGTTTTCCAAAGATAGCATGTAAGGAGAAAATATACCATGAAGAATACTACATATTAAAAAAATTAAACCATTTACAGAAACCTCATGAATAAGTATTTTCGTCTTAAACATTTTATCGTAAACATTCAAATTGTCAGTCCACCAAACTGCTTCAGTTTTTGCTTGAGTTTTTGAGGTTTAAAACATATGACTTTTTTTAAAATCTCCAAAGGAATCTATTGCTGAAAAATATTTAGTTTCTGTGCCATTGCAGGGAGATCCCACTCTTCCTCATGGATGTTATTTATCTATCAAATGAAAGTCCAATAGGACTCACTGGAACATGCAAAGGTGATATGAACATCTAAAACTCCTCAAAACAAAAACAAAATCCAGATCTTTCTAGGAGCAGCTTACCGGCCTTTACCAATAACTAATTTATTACATTTTGGTGAACCAAAGTCCAACTGAAGTCAAATATAATAATAATATAATATAATATACTAGGTATTTATTTTTTCGATCTGGGTAACATTGGGAAAAGTAAATAATTATGTAAAATTGTTATTGCTGTCTATTTCTGAATTGGGCAGATTTCACCTCTCATCCTGCTTTAAAGAAAATGATGGGAGAAGACAACTTTAAGGCAGAAAAAAGTAATAATATGTCAGAGCTCCTAGACCTTTCATTTTTTACTGATTGTGTCTACACTGGAGAAATTTCCTATCACTACCTGTTCTGACAGAAAGTGAGGGTAAATCTCCCAAACAGGGGCACACACTGGAATAAAATCTTGACATAGGCTTTATGCTTTCCCTACTCTACCCAAAACTCAAAAGTTGAGCTTTGACTTCTTTGTCCTGATTTATATTTCCTAGTTGATCTGTGCTGCCTTGTGGCATCACTAAGCTCATGTACATCATATTGATAAAAGACCACTGGCAGTCGCTCTCCTTTCTACCTGTTCTTATATAGGAATGTGTAAATAATAAAAAAAAGATGCTTGGTAGTTTGCAATATTCTCAGCTGAAATTTGCCATATTTGAATGTCTTGAACTACCAGTCTTTTACATTTATTAGATATAATGGATGGATCAAATACGCCTGTAGATGGGATATATCAAGGATGGGAGATGACAGATCTTCCACAACATTTTGAATTCATGGATGAAAACTCTATGAGCTATAAAAAGCATTTACATGTCTAGATTATCTTAAGTGGTGCTGGGGCTGTTTTTATTTATTTATTACAGGTACTTATATAGCGCCATCAATTTATGCAGTGCTTTATATACATATATTGTACATTCACATCAGTCCCTAACCCTAAAGGAGCGTACAATCTAAGGTCCCTAACTCTCATTCATACATATACATACTAGGGCCATTTTAAACAGGATCCAATTAACCTACCACAAAGTCTTTGGAGTGTGGGAGGAAACTGGAGTACCCGGAGGAAACCCACGCAGGCACAGGGAGAACATGCAAACTCCAGGCAGGTAGTGCTGTCATTGGGATTCAAACCAACAACCCTAGTACTGTCAGGTGGAAGGGCTAACCATTATGCCACTGTGCTGCCCACAATGGTGTAATGGTTTTTACTAATGATATATGGCCTTAATGACCTGATGATATATTATATAATGACCTTAATTTGAAAGGTAATCCAAGAATTATTGGCCACTAAAAAATAAAGCTCCATGAACACAGAGATTTGGTCTGACTTGTTGTTGACTTACCTGACGGTTATGGTGATATAATGAAGTAAGAGTATAGGGCAGAATCTGAAGCACAGAGAAAGGGATTCCTGTTATGGCAGCTGATGCGGTTACCATGACAACATTGCTAGAAAAGCACATGATCGTTGCAGCAACAGGTAGACAAGAGACACCAGCTATGTAGACAAATCTTGTTCCAAATGTCCTAACTAGGTGATCCATAGAGGCTGAAAAGGCTATTGATATAACAGACTGAAGAAAGAGGCCCAGACTTCCCATCCTGACTCCTAGATGAGATCAGAAAAAAACAACATAAATGAAGGAAATGCAATGTTGCTTGTGAGAATCAATATCTATATTTGCTGATATAAGAGCAATTTCTAGAAAAGATAATGCTACAGGATGAAGAGGACATGAGCAACAGAGATTAACTGAGATAAACAAAATTTTGGTATGTGAATATTTGTTTCTGATGAATGATTTTACTGACCTTCATCATAACGAAGTCTAGCTTCTGTTCCTGGTTCTGCCACTGGCACACCATGATACAGTCCTTCTCCAACAAAGTCGGTATAAAACAGTATAAATGTCATAAGGCCCATCCAAGAGCATAGTTGTGCCACAAATAGGCGCCACAGAGCAATGGGCACCCCGCAACAAAATCTCCTCAATCGTGGAACCAAAGCACATGCACTTCTGAATGCAAGAACCATACGCCAAAGATTGTATGGCAGAGTCCAAAGCTGACACAGTTGCAGGGAAGTCCCCCACCTTGCTGTTTGCTCCAAAGAGATATCCTGATGTACTGAATTTGTCCAGATTTCCTCTGAGACAAAGAATGTAGCAAATACACATCCAGAAAATATAATAAGCAGGAGTGTGAACAGACATTGTTCTTGACCTCCTAATTGCTGTGCCAGCCAGCTGCCACTCCAGTCCACAGAAGGTATTAAATAACCAATACATGCGCCTACTCCAACTGTTAATGCATAGACTGAGAATGCCTTCCTGCAGGCCTCTCCTTCTGGGAAAAGGTCAGACAGTAAGGCTTCCAAAGGAGTAAAACAGACCTGTCCACAGGAATCCAGAAGGACAATTCCAAACACTAGGAAGGCCACCTCCATGCCAGCATGATGGTGACCTGTTAAACTGGCCAGATAGTTAGAATATGGGATAATAATGAGACTCAACATAACTCCAAAGCAAAGAAGCCAGATGAAGGGACGGCGACGACCATATCTGCTGTTCCACCGATCACTTGCTGAACCAATCAGGTGTACAACTAAAAGACCAAAAATTGGGCCAATACCTGAAAAAGAAAATGGTAAAATTCATTGTATTTTTTAGACCCATGAACATCCATAACTTTGCCACAACTAAGCCAATATATACTGTAGATAACCTGCAAATAGTATTTACATATTCACACAATTACCAACAAAAACCTATGGCAGTTGGTACTATTTTACTTTCAGTTGAAGCCAAAACATATTTTAGCTGTATTGTTGAAGCATTATAACCAAACCCTGTTAGGTTTTTATTGTTATATGTGTTTCTGCTGGGAGAGTCACCCTCTTTATTTATCCTACTAACCATTGTCACGCAAAACAGAGTAGATGGGAGTATCTCCAGTGGAGACACCTGTTTCTAAGACAACTGTTTAAGAGGGATTTTCCCCTTGTTTTGATGTACATTTTTCTCATTCCTACTGTGACTCTGAGACAGGAAGTGATGGGAAATCTTCGCAATGGGATAGCAAAAAAAACTCAAAAAACATACAGGTTTAATCCTTCCCCACTAGAAAGAAAAAAAATTGGCTTTAGATGAACTTTAGATGACGTTTATGAGGTTGATCAGAACTGACATTCTAGATTATCTTAATTAAAGTTTCCTGTGCATCTCCAAGACTTTCTATTAGAGTGGTTGGACCTCTTTAAAGTGGTTCTAAGGTCACTAGGTTTTTTTTACCTTAAAGTAATATTAAAGGTTTGTTTTTTGTTTGGTTTGTTTTTTAAATATCAAACATGTCTTACCTGCTCTGTGCAATGGGTTTGTACAGAGAAGACCTGATCCTCTTTTTTTTGGGTCCCCCAGTGGCACTCCTGGTTCTTCCACCTTGACTACTGCTCCCAATAGCAAGCCGCTTGCCATAGGGGCACTGGTGCATGCTCACTCCCGAGCCCCGCTCTATGCATCTATAAGACTCCCCTCTCTCTCCTCATTGGTTCACTGGCTGTGATTGACAGCAGTGGGAGCAAATGGCTCCTACAGCTGTCTCAGCCAGTGAAGGGAGAGGGACCCAGGACAGCCAAGGCTCCTGTGCACATCGCTGGATTGAGAGGGAGCTTTGGTAAGTATTGAGAAGAGCTGTGGGGGAAGCAGCACACAGAAGGTTTTTTAGAATTAATGAAGGTAAAAAACCTTCAGCCTTTACAACCACTTTAACCACTTCAATACTGGGCACTTTCACCCCCTTCCTGCCCAGGCCCCCAGGGGGCACAAGCAAGACGTGTTCAGGGAGGATGTCTATAGACACCCTCCCAGAACAAGAGAGCCACGCTGTAGCCATCTCTTGGCTATAATGTGGTATTACAGTGGTAATGCATTAACTTCATTATGGTAAAAAAAAAAATATTCACTAATGGTTTGCTTCCCTCCCTCCCTAAATACTTACCTGAATCCTGTATGGATTCAGAACTGTACCCTTCTGCAGCAGCGCTGTTCTTTCTCCCTAGTCTCACAAGGCATATTGATAGCAGTGGGATCAGCTCCAACTGCTGTCAATCAAACCCTCTGAGGGAGAAGCAGGGGGCAGGACCGAGCCACGCTATGTTTGTCTATGGACGAACACAGCCCGGCTCATGAGCACGCACTTGCACCCTCATAGCAAGTGGCTCACTTTAGGGGCAGACAGAAAAGAGGAAAAGTGGACAGTGCTGGTGGGAGACCCAAGAAGAGGAAGTCTGGGGCCACTCTATGCAATACCAGTGCACAGAGCAGGTAAGTGTAGACTTCTTTATTACTTCAAGTAAAAACATTGGAACCTTTAGAATCCCTTTAGTTGAGTTCCCAGATCACAACTGCCATCCTTTAAAACATTAATGTCTGACATCACGTTTGAATGTTTATACCGTCACTAATTTTTTAGAACTTGCTTCCTACTATGCACACAAGGCTGGAGATCATGGAATATTGGGCAGCTGTGAACTAATGTACCAAGTCAGATTATTTCCAAGATATATGACCACTATGACATCAGTAAAAATGGTGAAAGTGAAGGAGCTTGTTAGGTTATCTCTTTAATAAGGTACTGTATATTAATATACCCTGATGACATGTTGTCATATATTCTTATGTTTTGCCTATGTAAATGTCTTTGTGTTTAGCAGTGTGAGAAAGTGTCACTTGCTGTCTCACTGCTGCAGGTAGATGTGCAGCTTTGTTCTGTCTCTGTGTCTCTTGCCTACTGCTGATGGAGAATACAGAGTAGAGCAATGCTATTTAAAAATATAAAATTGAAGAAACACTATCATCATTATATAGTAAAGAAGAATATACCAAAATATGTAATAAAGAAATCAAGATTGCAAACAATTTAAATTTATTACTAGTAAATTCATACAGTCTGAGCAAGTAGGCACTTTACAAGATAACTTTTTGTTATGACTGGGAACAAAGAGAATGCAAATCTATTAACACCTTCTTCAGCTGTATGTGTATGGAGGAAAATGGTAGAGCTTAATTCCATAATTGGGATAGGATTGCCATAGCCTAAAATGAACAACAATGTTTGATAAGACACAGAAACAAACATATCTTGATTACGAATAGAACTATACTAGTGGCCCCATTAATATAGTGTCCCCAAAAATGCAGCATTAGCAGGATCAGCCCCGATACCTGCCAGCACTTGTGTTAAGTCCCTCCGCCCCCCTTCCCCCAACAAGTGCAATGTCGGTATAATTTTTCTGATCACTGCCACCTCTGATACATTATATACAAAACTGCAGCATTAGCAAGATTACGTCTGATCTCTGCTAGCACTAGCCAGGAGCTCTTTATCCCATAGTCGCACTAGGTACCTGTAAATTTAGTGCCTAAAGTGTCCTCTAGTGAACAGGTCTACAGGATTCTGAGTATGACAGATGAGAGTGAAGGGGAGTCCTCTGTCACAATCCAGCTCAGAATACGAACCTGTAGAGAGCAGCAGCACCCTGACAGGGAGCTCAGATGATGGTGAAGAGGTCCCTGCTAAGATTAGGTGTACCCAACCCCAGGTAACTGAAATGCTAGAAACTAAGAGTTATGCTCATATGCAGCAGGGTGCAAATACTAGTGCTCCACTACCTGTTGGTGATCTGATAAGCACCATCCTGACCTTTTAGAAACCAGCGCTGCACTGGTTTCTAAAAGGTCATGGCAAAATAGCAAGCGCCAAAAGTGCAGTACAAGCTGGTGAGTTGGCTAGCAACCAAGAATTAGAGCATAGGCCCATAGAGCCCAGAAACCTTCCAGAAGTGCTTGAAAGTCCTGACTATCAGCCCCCTGACTGATTCAGCAGCTCCCATTATCCCACCATTCACAGCCGGGGTTCAGGTGGAAACAGCGAACTTAAAAATACCCTTTTGATTTTTTTACCAAACTAATCTTTCATGCCAACCAGTACATCACCGCCCTCACAAATTCATACCTTGCCAGGTCATTCAAGTGGAAATCTGTCATGGTTTCCAAATTAAAAACTTTTTTGGGCCTAACCCTTAACATGGGCATTACAAAAAAGAATTAATTTTGGTCATATTGGTCCACTGACATAGTTGTTAATATGTCCATGTTCTCTGCTGTCATGGCCAGTAAGTGATATGGGACAATAATGTGTTTTATGCATTTTAGTGATAGTGCACTCTGTCGTCCTCAGGGTGACCCTGAATGTGATTGACTCTACAAAATTCAACCCCCATAAACTACCTCTCCGAGAAAATTGCAGATGTGTGTACGCCCCAACAAAACATCTGCATAAACAAGTCTCTCATACATTTTACTGGCAGGCTTGCAATCAAGCAGTATCTTCCCAGAAAGCGTGCCAGATAAGTAGTCAAAATGTACAGAATAAGCTCTGTCAGAGGGCAACAAGCTCTGCATACAAATTCAGAGATTATGAGGGAAAAGACAGTGAAATGGAGTCCCCCAAATGCCTAGACTACATGGGGAGCAGTGGCAGGATAGTGTAAGACAGCGGTTCTCAACCTGTGGGTCACGACCCCTTTGGGGGTCCAACAACCCTTTCACAGGGGTCTCCTAAGACCATCGGAAAACACATATTTCCGATGGTCTTAGGAACCGAGACACCGCTTCTCTATCATTTTTTCAGGCGGTTCCGCCCACATGCAGTTACGTCCACATTTCCCTGGACGCGATGTGTGCGCGGGATGACATGCCGCCCCTGTCATCTGGCCACATCCCCAGGATCACTCAACAGCTCCGCCTCCTTGCCAGTGATTGGCCGCCGCAACTGTAGCTCAGGAGAGGCACACAGGCAGCCAATCACCGGCGAGGAGGAGGAGCCGAGCAGCAGCACGAAGATCAAAGAAGATCGAGCAAGCGAGCAAGGAAGACAGCTGACAGGTAAGCGTCTGTAGCATGCAGATGGTGCTGCTGCAGCCAGGTATGCTGGCTGTAGATGGGAGCGAGCCCAGGCTGGAGCAGGAGTCAGCAAGGTAAGTATCATTGGTGTCAGTAGGAGGAATAGTGCCCCATCATTGGTGACACTAATACCAATGATGGGGCACTATTCCTCCCACTGACACCAATGAGGGGGCACTATTTCCTCCCCCCCCCCACACTGACACCAATGATGGGGAACTATTCCTCCCCCCACTGACACCAACGATGGGGCACTATTCCTCCCCCCACTGACACCAACGATGGGGCACTATTCCTCCCCCCACTGACACCAACGATGGAGCACTACCCCCCCTGACACCAATGATGGGGCACAATTCCCCCCCACACTATTATCAATGATGGGGCACTATTCCCCCCCCACTGACACCAATGATGGGGCACTATTCCTCCCACACTGACACCACTGATGGGGCACTATTCCTCCCACTGACACCAACAATGTGGCACTATTCCTCCCACTGATACCAATGATGGGACACTATTCCTCCCACTGATACCAACGATGGGACACTATTCCTCCCACTGACATAAGTGATGTGGCACTACTCCTCTCACTGACACCAATGATGTGGCACTACTCCTCCCACTGCAAAATTACAGTTATGAAGTAGCAATGAAAATAATTTTATGGTTGGGGGTCACCACAACATGAGGAACTGTATTAAAGGGTCGCGGCATTAGGAAGGTTGAGAACCACTGGTGTAAGACTTGGTGTTGGTCTTGTTCCGTAAGGGGTACCATTTGTGTGTGGACAACTTTTATACAAACGTGCCACTTTTTAGACATTTCTACAATCTTGGAAATGGCTGCTGTGGCACCATGTGACCCAATTGCAGGGGCTTCCCCTAATGGCTCGTTAACACCCAACTTAGAAAGGGGGAAAAAGCCTGCTTGCGTAATAAAGAACTTCTCGCAGTGAAGTGAAAGGACAAACAGGATGTATTCATCCTGTCTTCCATTCATACAAACATGATGGTTCTAATCAGCACAGCATCTAGTGTAGTTGAAAAGCCTCTCTGTGTCCACAACTATAATCTTTATATGGAAGGCGTAGACTTCAAAACCAAATGGTGAAGCCGTAGTTAGTGTCCTGCAGAGTTAGACACTAATACAATAAATTGTCTATTTGTCTATTTCAATTGGCTATTTATAATGCATTTGCGCTTTACAAAGGAATCAGAAGAAGTGGATCCTTCCTAAAATTTCATGAAGCGATCATTGTGGCCCTTTTGTATACAGAAGGTGCTGTGGCCCAAATCCATATGTAGCTGGCTGCATGAGAGTCATTATCCTGATGTCCTCCCTGGTACCTCAAGCCAAAAGTCACCCCAAAATAGATGCTGTGTCTGTAGTAAAAATGGAATGAGATGAGACACCCATTTCTTTGTCCCTCTTGTCCTCACCAACCTGGTCTCTGCTTCAAAGACTGCTTCTGTCACCACCACACACTGGAGTGTTAGTCTAGGGTACAGCGCAGCACAGTCACTGCCTGCAATGCTGCAGGAGGAGATTTCTCATCCACAGTTAAAAAAAAGAACATATATGCCCAAACATAGGGGGGCCTAGGATGGTCAATGGGCAGATCGCCCCTATGCTATGGCATGTAGTTTTTCACTTTTTTACTGGCAAAGATTTATTTATTCACCTTGGTTGATGTGAATGGAGAAATCCATTAACGGCTGAATGATAAAAAGAACATTATATGTATGTCCATGATTAAAAGAGTGGGTAGATGTACGGTGGTAGATTCTAATGGCAGGCATACCACACACTTTTTCTGGCAGACGTTTTCATCTACATTGATCGATGTGAATGGAGGAATCTGTTACGTTCTTTTTTTTGTATGCCCAAGCATTAGGAGCATGGGGTGGTCAGTGGGTGATAGCTCCTATTCTTCGGCATATAAGGTTTTCATTTTTTTCTGTCTGAGATTTCTTCATCCACATAATTCTATGTGAATGGTGGAGTCCGTTAGGACTCCTTTTTTTTTTCGTAGAGCATTACATATGTGCCCAACATTAGATGAGTGGGTGGATGTGTGGCAGAAGCTTTTTTTGTTACACAAAGTTGTCACTTTAATTAGATATTTCTCACACGTGCCATTGGTATATGTGGAATTACACCCCAAAACACATTCTGTTACTTCTTCCGATTATGGGGATATCACATGTGAGAGACTATTTTAGGCCCTCAGGACCACCTTCAGGCTTTCCTCACTACTTATCATAGTCTTGGAGAGTAGACACCCCAAGGAATTTGATATGAGTGGAATGGTGCATATTTTTCAGATCTAATTTTTTGTCACAAGGTTTTGAAAAAAGACATTAAATTAAATAATTATTCTTTCTTAATTTAAATTTTCTTAAATTAAATTAAATTTCTTTCTTCATTTTCCAAAAATTTGTGGCAAAAATAAGATCTGCAAAACACTAAAATTTATAATGAAATTTAATTTTATTGGACATTTTATATAACAGAAAGTATTGTACTCAGTGGTGGTCAAATACCACCAATAAAAAGCTCTACGGTGTGTAAAAAAAATTATATATATTTAATTTGTGTACAGTGTTGCATGACTGAGCAATTGCCAGTTAAATTAGTGCAAATTATAGCAAAAAATGCCCTGGTCATCAAGGGGATAAAACCAGAGCTCAGGTGGTTAATATTTTTACACATTTGACATACATTTACACATTTCCCATACACACATACAGTATATGATACATACATTTTTTTAATTTGTAAATAGCTTTGCAATGCTTTGTACCAGAAGCAGGGGCGGACTGACAACTCATGGGGCCCCCGAGCAATGGGGATCATGGGGCCCCTGTGTCCTTGCCCAAACTCAAAAAAGCCTATGAAAAAGGTACCAGGGGCATCTCATGGGGCCCCCTACTGACCCCGTGCCCTCGGGCAGTTCCCGAGTTTCCAAATGGTCAGTCCGCCCCTGTACAAAAGTGTTATTTTAGTGTTCCCTTCCTCTTGTGATATACTTCGGCTTCCTTTTCACTCTGTCTTTATTGGGATGAATATGGACACTTGTCTCTAGGCCACATGTAATCTGCTTGCATCCAGAAACACATTACCATGTTTTGACCTGCAAATACTGTCCTTTCAATCATCTGCCAAGTCTGTTTGCTGTTAGTCTGCTGCATGCAATAAAGGTTTCATGGATGAGAAAACAGATATTTGGTGAGTTCAGCTATCTGATAAAGACTGTTCACCAGTTTGTGAAAGCACATGGTTGTGAAGCCATAGAAAATGCTCTATCCAAGAGACTGCAAACTTTTCCAAAAATAAGTACAAAAAAATAATTACAAGCTTCAAGAACTAAGTGGCCTCCTCTTGGAGTTAGAGATGGCAAAGACAGAACCTCGTCTACCTGGAGTAAGCTATCTGCTTATGGCATGAATCCAGTGTCTAAACTGCTTTACAACCTACAAGAGAAATGGGCACAACAGGGCTAAAAATATAAAAGAGACTATAATGTATCCTTTTCTCTATTCTCATATTTTTTCAGGTTCTTCAATGAACAAGCCTGGATGACAAATGATCCCAGCTTCAGTGAATCTAGCTTGCTTGCTTCATCATCATCAAGGTATGATTACAAAGAAGCTAAAGACAGAGTCTTAAAAAGAGCAGTATCTGCTACAAAGACAGACATCTCACCTCCCGTATCCTCTCCTGCTCACCAGAGTGATTTGGGTGATAGAGATAAAGATCCTAATTGTCAGTGCTATATTAAAAAAAAACCTCACCCTCTTAAGAAATGTGCTTAGGGCAAAGACTGTAGAAGAATGCAGAGAGATTCTTCAGAAACTTCAAATACAGGTGCTGTGCTTACTTTGACCATTTTGTGAAAGATTGTAAAGTTATCATCAAGTGCACATAATGCAGTAATGACAAACACGTTACAGCTATACATCCTGCTCCATGGCCAGACAATCCACAGCAGCCATCTATATCGAGCCCTGCTTCAAATAATGGTGGGGAGCAACAAAGCCATGCTACAGCCACAACAAATGTTTCTTCTTCATGTACTGAAGTCTGTGGAGAAGGAATAAGCCACTAATGCTGTGCCAAGGTACAGTATATCTAGTCAAAATATATCTGAAGGATCAACCTGAGAAAGCTACCAGGATGTCAGCCATAATAGATGAGCAGAGTAACAGATCATTGGTGTGACGGAATGCCTGTCAACCCGATTGGATGATTCCATCAGAGAACTGCTTCCTTGCTGCTGGGATACAAGACCAAAGTATTATAGCTGGGCATCACACCCAAGACTAGGCAAGACTAGCTTAAATGCAACTGGAACTCCTTTATTGAACAGGAACACAGGTTTTTATATACTTCGGAAATAGGGGCAGCCCCAACGTGATTAATAAAACAAATATTACACACTGATTAGGTAAAAGCTTGATCCCATTATCCTAAACAATTCAAATGGTAAACAGTACAGTAACAGTGATCTATTTAACAGTAAACTAATCAACAGCCAGGCACCCAGACAATGCATTGATTAATCAGGAAGCCCACCCCAGACAGATGGACAACAAGCCCAACCCTGAATACACAAAGTCTATTACACATGCTGTCTATCAGGTGTTTGCTTTCACTTGTATAATCTGTCCATCATAACACAATAGAATATTCCAACTGGATGAAAAAGTGGAATTAATTTATCTTCATAGACTTCTTGAGGGAGATTGTTGATAAATATTTCTGTCCCAAGTGGAAGAGCTTCTGCAACCCAGTCCACCATATTTCCTCTGTCCATTAACCTGTACAATATTAATATTACACCTTTCTATCCACTCCAGAAGGGAAATGGTATTGTCATTATACAGAGAATTAATCTAAGCCTCGCTCTCAGTGTTCATCAACTTGTTGTTCATCGTTAGAGAATGATCTGCTCTCTCTATGGGCCATAATCTGTGGGTAAAAGTCCAGCCCCTAGTCCTCTGCAAAAGCCCCTATCCTGGTTGGGTCTGTGACACCTAGCTGAACCTAAATTCCTTAAGATCTTTGGCATAAAGGGACATGCCATACCATATACTCTCAACTCCTGTTCTGGATGTGTAGAAATATCCAGCAGAAGGGACAATGGGTTCATGGTCTCCCATATTAAGGCAAAGACAAACAAGGGCGTGCCCTTGCCAACATTAGTTGAGTGTGACCAAATACCAGATGACAAGGAAAAAATCCCTACTCCAGAAGCTGCGTTTTACCATTTTCACTTAAGGCACCTGGTTACTGAGATTCCTCCAATGAACATGGATGCTGAAATCTTAGTCTTATGGGAAGAGACATTCTCAGAGTACATAAAGTACGCCAGCAGTGCAGTGGATCTAATGATGCCCCATATGCACAAAGACTTTACCTAGGCTAGGTAATAGTGGGCGATGTATGTT